ATCGTGGGCTCTCAAAAAACCCCCGAAATTATGCAGCATAAATGTTTAAGCTCCTTGGAAGGAGTGCCAGCCAGACAAAGTATCTGCTCTGCTGCTGTGTCCCCCTTGTTTTAGCGACAACAAAATTGCTGCGATTGCATTATCATCGTGTCGCACGCGACCCAGAGGACCCTCTCTGCGACTCTCCCCTACTGGAATGGAGTGTGAGAGCAGCAGAAGCCGCAGGACAACAAATGCAATTTGCTTAAATGTTATTGCAGCCACAACAACACAGTTGTAATCAGAATGAGAATCAGAATCAGAATCACAAGGAATGAAACCGAAATCGCGTCGACAGTTAATGAGATTAAAATACCCAGCGGGTGGGGGGGTTAGCTCTGACTGGATGGCGGCTGGTCGTACCCTGATCCCTGATGTGATGCCTGGCCTGGCCCGGCGGGACGTCCCCCGTATTGCGTAGATTGAGACCCAGCCTCCAGAGAGACAGAGACGACGGAGCCACGGAGCAGCAGACGGAGCAGTCGGAGCTGATGGAGTGAAGTAGAAGTAGAAGCAGAACGGAACCGGAGCTCAGGGCTCGAGGAAGCGCAGCCAGAGGGAATGCGAGGAATGTGAGGCATAAATCACTGCCATAAATTAGTTGGCTTTTAATTACGATTATTATGCTGATAATAGCGCGCATTTAACGCGCGATAAACATAAATAATCGTGTCAAATGCAAACAGATGTCGAAAGAAGATGACAACCGACAACCAACAACCAGAGAACTCCAACAACTCCGAGAACAACTCCCGACCGGAGACCAGCAAATCACGGAGTCTCCATTCAGCCGTCGGCCCGACACACACACGGCCGGGGCACATGATGATCGACTCTGGGCATGCCCTGAGACTTCGCATTTAAGTGAAAATCTAGCAAATAGAAATTGTTCCTCGACCCTTAACAAAAGTTTCTATTAAACATATAAAACAGTAACTGCAGGTTACGTAATTTTGTTCTTTATTATTTGTGATAATTTGTATTGCTTAATTGTTTAATTTATTGCTTAATAAAATATAATTAAACCAAAAAAAAAAAAAATAAATAAAAATAAATATTTATTGATTCAATACTCCAGTATTTATTAGCTGTGAAAAGAAATATTTGAAATATAATATAATATAATATAATATAATATAATATAATATAATATAATATAATATAATATAATATAATATAATATAATATAATATAATATAATATAATATAATATAATATAATATAATATAATATAATATAATTTAATATAATATAATATAATATAATATAATTTAATATAAGTGGGCACATCAGAGCCGCATCTTCAGTTACTTATCCATTTATCTGCACAACTTCAATGTGCCACTCTACTGCTCTGTGCTGTCCCCTGTCTCTACGCTTCCTTTGTCACTTGCCCTAAACCCCCTGGATGCTGCCTGAGTCGTACAGGGTATGCAAATATTTTCTGTGCGCCTTTCATTTTTTCTCGTGCTTAATGAAAACAATGTGTGAACAAGATTTGTGAACGAACTGGGGGCCTGGCGAGGGCGTGGCAACCATTAAAAGATTCTTGAAATGCCTTTGGCATCCTCTCCTCCTCGCCGGATCTCTCTCTCTCTCTCTCGCCCCACCAAAAAGGGAAAAAGTGTTGACACTTTTTGGTATTCGGGGATCCGGGAATCCGGGGATTCGTGGATGCCTGGGCATGGGAATCGGAGATGGAGATGGAGATCTCTGCCGTTCTGGCGCCTAACTCTGCTCAAATGTGTGAAAATCATATTTTAATTAAAGTTTTTGCTGCTAATGATTTTGTCAGCGCCACAGTGATGGCCATTTATCATCTGCTGCCTGCCTTCTCTTTCCGTGTGGGTGTCTGTGTGCCCTTTGTGCGTCTCTCTTTCTCATTCTGTGCCCGTGGTTCACCTTACCTTTTCTGTTCTACTGTGTGGACTGGTGTTCTGTTCTGTTCTGTTCTGTTCTGTGCTGGTCCTTCCCCACACACACTCCACACTACTATCCATCCATGTCCTTTGCAAACCGATGCCAAACGCATGTCCCGTCTTTTGTTTTATGTCTCTCAGTGTCCCTTTCTCCCGTCTCTCTGTGTGTTGTGTATTTTTCATTATTTTAATTTACAACTTGCTCTGGCACTCTTTTGAAATCTGACTATGGCTTGACTGCAGGCAGAGATGGCAGAGTGGGGGAAACACAGCAGGACACGGCTACCGGCAACCATGTGACAAACAATACCCCGAAACAGAAGTCAGCGATTGCACAAGGATGTGCGAGCACTTCAGGCACTGGCCCTGGTCCTGGCTCTGGCTCTGACTCTGGTCCTGGTTCTGGTTCTGGCCTCCTTCCAGGAACAGATTCATCTTCATTGAGGTTCTTGTGGCAGTCCCATTTTAATTGCTCGAAAAACCAAAGGCACTCGCCGCAGCTTTCCATAAATATATATTTTTCTACTGGAGTGGAATATTAATTTAAAGTTAAATAATGATAAACCACAGACTTAAGAGAGTATTTACTTTGCTAACTTTCTTTTTATTCGCGATTAATAGCAACAAAAAATACTCTACTCCCACTCCCAGCTTCTGATCCGAGTCCCCTGTTCAGTTTGCCCATCCAAACAAACCTCCAAAAGTGTATCTTCAATTCATTGCCCTGGCAAATTGTTTTTGCCTTTGCTATCCGTCCCCTTGGCCGCCCTCGGCCACACCCCCATTGTAAATGTCAAAACATAAGCGGCGGGGAAAATAACTGCGCAGCTTAATCCACTCCCAGAATCAGGAATCAGGACTCAGTCGGGAATCTGTATGCTGTAAATCTGTATTCAGGGGGGGGGGAGAGAAACAATCTGCACCCACTTCAATCTCAATCTGTTCAGGGTCTGACCAGGGGTTCTATGGGTTACCCCCGGCACTGGGGTTCCCTTGGGGGTGCGGTTCACAAATCTACGGTAATAAAATTTAAATCACCCACACACACTCGTCTCCCGGGTACCCGGGTCACCGGCTCCGGCTCCGGCACCCACTTGACGGAGATTGCGAGCGTTAAAAGTCGTTAACGACCCATGGCAATGTCGCTTTGGCAGGAAGCGCAGAGCATCCAACCCCCAAGCCCAAGCCAAACCAAACCAAACAAAACCAAACAAAAAAGCGCAACCCTCAATCAGAGACATATTTTACGCTTATGAACTGCAGATACAAAGATACAATTTAGCAGAGCCGCTTTGGCTAAATTGATTCCCCCCCAGTGCCAGTCTCTCCCCCGTTCCAAGCCCAAAATCAATCGAGAGTCGCCTCTGGGTTTTTTTTGTACATTTATTTTTGAATGAAATTTAAATATTTTAGTTTATCTGTATTTGTATCTTGTATCTTGTATATTAAATAATTAATTTACATGGACAAAAAAAAATATAATAATAGAAGATGATAAATTGCTGATGCGGCGGCTCATCCATCCATCCATCCATCCATCCATTCCATCCATACATAAATCCATAAACTAGTCAAAGCACTAATCGGAGTGTCTCTCTGTGTGTTTGTGTGTGTGTGTTCCAGGGTGGGGTAGGGGAGGTGTGCTGTGCGGGTGGGTGGGGTAGGTGGTGTGTGTGTGTGTGTGTATGCTAAGTATCTAAGTATCTGCACTAAGCCTACGTTCAAATAAAACAACAAAAAAAAAACATATTTAGTTTTTAGTTTTAGTTTTTTGTTTTTTCTGTTTTTTCTTCTGTTTTTTCTTCTGGTTTTTTGTTTTTGTCTGATAAAGCACTAGCGTCTAAATTTATGTCTTCTGTAGCTGTATCTGCCCGTCTGTCTTGTCTTTCTGCCTGTCTGTCTGTTGGGTATAGCAAAAATAGATCGTGAAAATATTCTAATGTACAAGTTAGAGTTAGAATTAGAGACGGGGCGATGCTGCCGCTCAAAAGGTATTCGCTTAGCTTTTTACATACAATTTTCCACATTATCCATTAGCCGCCCCGTAGAAAATCCTATTCCTCATCCAACATACAGTGTGTACCGTATGTCTGTATCTCTTCCCCCACATTTGCCGCTTCGTAATTGGACTAGAAATATATTATCTTCCTTCTGTTCGCTGCCATATCCATATAACTATAGTATATCTATATATCTATAATATATATATTTTTAAGGGGTGTTTTTTTTTAGAATTGCATAAATGTTCAACAAATAGTTTTGAGATTTTTTTTAATTTACTTATTTCCCCCTTAGACTGTAATGTGTGTGTGTGTGTGTGTGTGTGTGTGTGCTCGAAGCTTTTTTCTGTTTTGGTTAATATTCATTCAGAGATTTGTTTTAGGATTAGCTTACTTACTTGCTAAGAAAAAAAACAGATATCTGCCGTACACATATCCATGTACTATGCATATACTATATATATATATATATATTTTATCCTCTACTAACTATTAAAAAAAAATCGAAAAAAAAAATATATATATATATAGATTCTCGTTCTCGCTATAACATCCTACATACATATATATCGAATATACTATTTCTTGTGTATACATACATATATATATATATATGTATATATTTCCAGATCTTAAGCTAGCGACAAGCAATGTTTGTTTTGAGTGCTCGATAAGTGTGTCGGTGTGTGTGTGTTCTGCTGTGTGTGTGTGTGTGTGTGTGTGTGTGATGGTTACGGACATACAATACAAATAGACATATAGAGAGTGCATCGAATATTTACAATTATACGAGTTTGAATATATATCTTCAGCTTCTGTTTGCCTGCTCTGTGGGGCAAGACTCCGGCCCTGCTCCCACTGCATCACCATCGATGCCTCGATGCCATCAAATGTATTTTTTGTTTTTATTCCAGATGTTAGGTAAATCACAACAAACAAACAACAACAAAAAAAAAGAACCATTATACATTATGCATTACAGATTATATTATATATTTTATATATATATATGATATACGAGTGCGTGCGATCAGCTGATCAGGCTGATCAGGCTGATCAGGCTGATTGATCACTCGTAGATATAGTTTAGTAAGCTGCTGGGGTTGCATAGAAATTCCAATTCCAGTTCCGACAAGGAACCCATTTCCGCTCAGTTGGTGAACAGAAAGGGTCCCAGCGACCCTCAGACCATCGGTGGCTTAATGTCCACCAATGCGCTGGGGTCCAGTCGGTCCAGGCGGTGCTCCAGCCCCGGACTGCCCGCCGCCAAATGATGGTGGTGATGGTGATGCAGATGGGCGTGCGGATGCTGCTGCTGCTGCTGTTGTTGCTGCTGCTGCTGCTGCTGCTGGGCGAATTGTTGCTGCTGTTGGTGCTGCTGCTGTAGGTGCTGCTGCTGCTGTTGCTGCTGTTGCTGCTGCTGCTGGTGGTGTTGCTGCTGCTGCTGCTGCTGTTGTTGCTGTTGGTGGGGCTGCTGCTGGTGGGACTGCTGCTGTTGTTGTTGTTGATGCTGCTGGTGCTGGTGAAGCATCACCGGCGACCCGCCCGCGGCGACCATCTGGTGCGGCGAGGCCAGGTGCAGACCGCCGCCCAGCAGGTTGCTGGGCGTGCTAGATGCGCTATGCGCGTGCAGCGAGGTCGGGGTGCCGGGATGGCTGCCAGAGCCAGAGCCAGACCCCGATACGGAGCCGGAGCCCGAACCGGAGCCAGAGCCGGAGCCCGAGCCGGAGCCGGCGCTGGTTGGGCCACCCCCGCCGCCACCGGCCGCGCCCGTCTGTTGGCCACTGGTCGCGCCGCCCAGCCCGTTGGACTCACCCGACTGATTGGCGGTCTCCTCGGAGTCGCTGCAGGACTCCGAGGAGCCCTTCTTAATGCCATTCGGCGCCGTGCCGTTGTGCGTCTTCACGTGCTTTGCCAGATGGTCGCTGCGCATAAAGCGCTTGTTGCACACGGGGCAAGCAAAGCGCTTCTCGCCGGTGTGCGTCCTCAGATGCCGCTGCAGCTCGTCGGAGCGCGTAAAGCGCTTGCCGCAGAACAGCCAATTGCACACGAAGGGACGCTCGCCGGTGTGCCACCGCAGGTGCGCCTTGAGATGCGACGTCTTGCCGTACACCTTGCCGCAGCCCGGGATGTGGCACGAATGGATGTTCTTCTTTCGCAGATGCACGCCCGCCGGCCCCAGCCGCTCCGCCTCCTGGCAGTTGGGGCAGTCGCAGGTGGCCCGACCCGCATACCGCCGCTGCGACCGGGGCGACGGTGTCGATGGCGTCGATGCCTGTGGCGACACCGCCGCCGTGGCCGCCGCCGATGGGGAGCTGTGCGGCAGCGAGAAGCCACCGACCCCCTGTCCGGGCAGCATGCTCTTGTACGTGTCCTGCAGCAGGTGCTGCCCGGAGCCCAGCAGGTGGGCGGTGTTCGAGAGCGAGTGCGAGAGGGCCGAGGAGTAGTCGGAGCCGGCAGCAGCGGCACTCGCGTAGTTGGCCATGGTCGAATGCATCCCGGCTGCGGCCGCGCTCCCCATATCCAGCCAGCTGCCCGCAGCGCTGTGCATGTCCCACCACCCGTTCACGCTGTTCACGCTGGCCGCCTCCGCGGCCTTGTGCGACACCGCGTTGAAGGGCCAGTCGTAGGGATGTCGCGAGTACACGGACCCGAACGCCGCCCCCTCCACCTTGCCCAGCAGACCCTGGTGCATGTGATGGTTCTCCGCCGCCACCATTCCGGCCGTCGAGGTGCCCGTGTTCGGGAAGTACAAATCACCGCCGTAGGCCGACACGGATGCTGCCGCGGCTGCTGCCGCCGAGGCCGAGGCCGAGCCGCTCACCGCCGCGCACGACGAGGCCAATGGGCGACTGTAAGGATAGATGCTGAAATTATTCGCGAGTTGTATAGAGCCAGGCTGTGTGGGCGATGCACGCACGCACAGTGGTCCCCAAAAGGAGGAGGTGCCTGCAGGCAGGTGCCTGGAGATGGATGTGCTGCATGGGGTGGGGTGCTGCATGGCTGGATGGGTGGATCCATGCACCAGGACCTACCCAGGACCTCTCTTTGGGAGACCACTGTGCGCCGTGGCGCTTCTTACCTAGCTGTGATGTTCACCATGGTGCTGGCGCTCGAGGAGAGACTCCTCGAGGACTGTCCACCGCCGCTGGCGCTGCCGCTGGAGCTGGACGAGCTGGCCGCTGAGATGGCGCAGGGCGAATGTTGGCCGGCGCTGCTGCCGCCGCCTCCTCCTCCTCCTCCTCCTCCACCGCCGCCGCCACCCGAGCTGCCGCTGCTGCCTGCAGCGGGGGAATTGGGACTCTTCTTCCAGGGATGGAAACCCTTGCCGACCGCCGCATCGGCGAGCGGTGGCGGCGATTTGTTGGACAGCTTGTTGCACTGTGCGGCCAGCATGGCCAGTGGCGTGCCTCTCAGGCTGGGATGATCCTGCAAAAACAGCAGCAGAGAGATCGGATGAGCAACGGGCATTACATTTCTTAATTAAGTCTCGTTCGGGGTTCTGGGGGCTCTGGGGGTTCGCGTGAAACTGCAAATTATTCAAATGCAAAATTAGTTATGCTCAATTTCGCTTCCTGCTGCCCAGCAACCAAAAACCAGACACCAAATATCACAAGAGAGCGGCTTCTAATGCCGAGCAGGGAGCAGCGAGCAGCGAGCAGCGTGGAGATGGGTCGTCGGCTGATGACGATGACGATGACGATGATGGGCCCAGCAGCAGCCCACAAAATTAATTCGCCACGTAAATCAAAACTGAAATTCGCTTTTAACGCCAAGGAATGGGCTGCGTTTTTTACGGTCTGCGTATGCCCTCGAACAGACAGCGAAAGGCAGAGAGGGGGAGACTTGGGGGCAAAGACAGACAGCGGCAGGGGCTGGCTGCTTCCTTAGGGTATCCCTGGTGCGACTTGGCCGAGTCCCACTTCAGACAGACATTTATAATCGGCCTCTCTGGAGTCGAAAGGAAGTCATTAAAACGGCTGCCTGGGAGAGGACGCAGGCTCCTTTTCAGCTTAGCCTTGGCCCAAAACTAATTTTCAATTCCGCTTTTTGTCTAGCGGCTTCTGCCCCGACACTTGTGCCAGGGCCCCCGATATGCCCATTGCCAGGCATCTATGGCTGGCCTCGCCTGGCCTGGCCATCCCGCTCCCACACTAATTGCTGCCTGATTGACGACGGTCGAGGATTTGTTTGTGTGCTGCAGGAAGAGATACAGATACAGAGAGAGAGAGAGAGAGAGCGAATGAAGGATCTTCAATCTGTGGTCTCTGATCCTCATCAAACACATTTCGTGCCTGCACGGCAGCTGCTTGAGTTGAGATGCCTCGAGATGCGAGAGAGAGAGAGAATATTGTCAACAACAAGTCGAACAACTTGCCACTTGCCACTTGCCACTTGCAACTTGCCACTTGCTATGGTAAAAGTTGTTCAATCAAGCGATCGGGTCGGGAGGGGGGTAGGGTTGGGGTACTTTGCACTGATCGAAAACGAATCCGATATTCACTCGATGCGAAATCAATGAATCCTTGCCTCACTTTGGGGGCTCTGTTTTCGCTCAGTGCAGCGGCAGCGCCAGCGCCAAGTCGAGTGAAATTAAGTTAATAGTTTTGCTGGCTTTACAGTTGTCTAGTTTGGCGCTTTTACCGTTGAAAAAGAAGGAGAGGGGGAGAGAGAGAGAGGGGGGCGGAGAGGGAGCGGCACTGGCAACCGGCAATCAGGCTGTGATCGGATCGGAATCGGGATCAGAGCCTCCGCGGAAGCTGCTCTTTTGGCTAGTAATTGCACTCGGCCTCGGCCTCGACCCCCGATCCTCCCACTGCACAGCCCCCATCCTTGGCCTGTGTTTCCGCATTGCAGTGTGGGGAGCTGCAACGGAGGCTGCAACGGAGGCTGCAACGGAGGCTGCAACGGAGGCTGCAACGGAGGCTGCAACGGAGGCTGCAACGGAGGCTGCAACGGAGGCTGCACTGAGGCTGGGCTCTGTGGCACGTTTATGTCACTGCCGTTGATTCTCAATTTGCCAATTTTCAATTCCACTTTGGACCCACCTCTCCCCAGAGCAGAGTCCTCGTCCTCCCGCCAGACAGGTGCTTTGGCAGCCTAATGACATCACCCATTGGAGTCGTGCAGCAGCAGCAGCAGCAGCAGACAGTCAAAGCCAAAAGTCGAGAGCCACCGAACTACTTTGGGCTCTGTGGCGGCCGAAAAAACAAAAATAAAACCAGCACACACTTAATTGGAGCAATTTCAACGTCGTGCAACTGCGCGTATGAGTAATGGCTGTATATCTCTCTCTCTCTCTCTCTCTCTCACACTCTGTGTGTGTTTGTGTGTGTGTGTGTCTATGTATGTGGCATGAAAATTATACAAAATGATATCGGGACAGAGGCAAGCAGCAAGAGGCAAGAGGCAAGGCGCAAGAGTCAGAGTCAGTCAGTGAGTTAGTCGGTGGAGTTGAAGCAAATTAAAATGCAAAATGATTTGATTAATCGATCAGGAAGGATGCACAGAGGGGCAGGGAAATGGGCCAAACTCCAGTAGGTATCCCTCGTGTGCCTATCTGCCCCCACCCCCCATCACATTGCCACAAATCGAATCAGATCACCAAATAAATGTAACAAAAGTTAACAATTTGTTTGGCATTTATGCAGGCAACGGGGGGGCGCCTCTGGCGCCAGTCTGCCTTGCCCATGGGCCATGGTCCGGAGTCTCATCCAAATTAGCCACTGCAACGCCCCTACCCCCCTCCCACTGGACAATGGCCAATGGCATAGGCAGAGAAGGGGTCTCTAGACCCATATTCAATGTGGGCTGATGAATAATGAATTGTTTTTCGATTCTCGTGTGGCTGCAACACACAGGGGCAACATCAAACAAAAGAGCGGCGACCGTCTACCAAAACGAATTTAGATTTTTCACATTTTTATTGTTGTTTGCCGACACACCAGCCAGGGGGACAGCGGACAGCGGACAGGCGGACAGCGGTCAGGGAAAAAGAGTGGCAGTGGCAGGGCCACTGCGGAGGTGGAAGATGCAACAAAGTGCATGCTGCCCCTGCCCGGCCCTGGCCCCGGCCCCGGCCCCTGCCTCATTGTAAATCATTAGCAGCGACACCTGCTGTGAAAATTATGACACCGCCTCCGATTGATGTGCACCACTTGTTGCCGCTATGCACACAGGGAAACGGAGACAGAGAGAGCGAGAGAGAGCAGTTAGAGTGTAAATGGGGAGACGGAGGCAGTGTGGAGAGGTGAGGTAGATAAAAGGTGCTGCAACCTGCAGCGCCATTTGCTGATAGCGCCCGCTGTGATCCGCCAAGAGAGATCCCTAGAGCATGGGAAACGGTGCCCTCTCTGCCACTCCGCACCCTGCACCCTGCACCCTGCACCGCTCCGCCCCTGTGGCAGTCACCTGCTGCGCTGAGCGAATTTGTTTAGCTCGCGCCTTTTGATGGTCTCCTTTTGTATCCGATTCCGTTTTCACCTCTGCAGGGCACCGAAAAAATGTCATTTAACTGTTTTAATTAGCCAAAAGAACAGACCACCCGAGGAGCAAGGGGGCAGGTCGGTCGAGAGACGAGAAATCAGAGACTGAATCAACGAAAACCAAATGAAAAGAGCTGCTAGGGAGAGGAGGGAATTGCTCCAGAATACTCCCTGATAAATTGTTGATTATAAATTAAATATCAATTACGAATTTTAAATTATTTGCAGCTCCCCCAGCCCCCAGCCCCTTGCCATTAAATGTTATACAATTTCCTGTACTACTCGTATTTTGCTTCCTAGTTTCCAGACACACACACACAGACACACACAACTTTCTACCCATTAAAAAGCCAACTATCGATGACAAGCAGCTGTGGCCATTCATCAATCCATCGAATCAATATGCACATACATATGTATGTATGTATATGCAGAGGAGCGGAGCCCATGCCAATTGGCTGCTTGGCTAATCCCCAAACTTTGTGGCACAGTGTTTGGGCAGCACCTCATCAACGGTAGGTAGAGATGGTAGAGGTAGAGGCAAAGGCAAAGGCAAATGCAGGGGCACTCAAAATGATTTTTTAACTCGAAAACTCCGGCGCCAAAATGCAAATAAAACAACAAACACGGAACATAAAAACATAAAACGGTTTGGCGAGTCGAAGCGAATATAAAAGAAACTTTAAATTGCGGCAAACGAGGCGGAGTAGGAGATCAGGCATAAAGGAAAGATCTCTGGCTGTGGCAGACGAGGCGCGGCGCGGCGCGGTGCGGTGCGGTGCGGCAAGAGAGCGCTACCCGAATACGCTGCCAGAGACCGACAACCGACGACCGACTACTCCAGGAGCAGAAGCAGCAGCAGCAGCAGACACAATTTTCATAGGCAATTAAAAAAAGTTCATTGGTTTCGATTTTACTCACTGGAACCACCATTCGGAAGCCAGTCAGTCGCAGTTGAACGAAGAAGGGCTCCAGGCAGTCCACAGAAAGCAGCCTCAGAAGGATGCAGCCCCCACTCCCCACGCCTCTCGCATGAACATACTCTCATACTCTCGAACTCTCATCCTTCCATTAGCATGTAAAGTGTAAACTAATGGCTTTGATTCTGATTCTGCACCCATGTACCCAGTACCCAGTACCCAGTACCCGTAACCGGGCAGCAGCACCCGAATGGAGGCTGCAGGAGAAGCGCTCACAAATTAAAAGCAGCGTGGGAACTGAGCAACTTCTCTGTCCAGAGAATTCAGAAGTTTATTAAAAAACGAAGCCCTCCCCACCCTCCGACACTCCGCCACTCAAGAGCAGAGAGCCAGAGAGAGCTCTGAACTAAGTAGCTTTGGCGTGGACTGGACTGGACTGGACTGGACTCCTTCGTTCCTTCGTTCTCTGTGTTGGCCGAGACTTTGTCTTGGACTTTTGCCGTGGCTGCAGGACCGAGTTCCTTGGAACTGGTCTGCGGATCGTGCCCTACCCTACCCTACCCGTAGCGTACCTTAAGTTCCCATAAGTAAGCCATACACGAAAACTCATTAACAATGACGCTCCAAAAAACAACATCCCAGTCCCAGTGCCAGTGCCAGAGCCAGAGCCCAGTAGGATGATGCCCCTGCCGAACGAGGATGAAGTAGCCGGGCAAAAATTAATGGAGTTTCCAAAAGCCCCAGACTTTTTCATCATAATTTTTATTATTATTTTTTGTTTTTTTTTTTTGTTTTTTTTTTGCTCTTCCTTATCTGCTCAGCGTCTCTTGTGGCTGCTTCCTTCCTTTTTTTATTTTTTTTATTATTATTTATTATTTTTGAGAAATTTTTCAAAAAAAAAAAGGAAACGGGAGAAGGGATTGTGGGGCTGTGGGGCACTGTGATCTATAAATACTCTACCACGTGAAGGCCAGCCTCGATGGCTTAAGCCTAGACTGGAGCTACGTAGAACAGAAGTAAATCC